TTTTATTAAGCTACATTTAAATTCCTCAATATTTAACATTTAAGGCTAATCAAAATTATGTTAACTTGCTATCAAAACAGTGACAATGTTAACTGAATCTAGTGCTGTCACTCAATGTCTAGACGCCTATGATTTATTTCATCTTGGCACGGATAAGTTATCATCAACATCAGAATATCTTTTGCAGTCTAACCAATAAGTTAAAATTTCTATTGAATTCCATCAACACCTCTCTGGATTAAGTTAAATCCACACAAGTTCTAATTCAGTGTGGGTTTTATATTACTCCATCATATTATCCATCCTAATCTTTCCTATGAAAACAATATTGATGAACATTAATGAATCCTCGATATTACTGAATCAAAAATGGACAGCAACCAAAAAATAATAATAATAAAATCATTAAATTAATAATCAAAATTATTTACTATTGAATAGGATCTGAAATGTAATGAATTTCTAATATGATCACTCTAGTCATTGGAATTAATTTCTACAGGTGTGATTTCCACAATCATTTCAAAAATTAACTTTAGGCCTGAGTAATTTTTCCACTCAACATTAACAATACTCACTCTAGTTAAGGTATGATTACATAAGGAATTATCGTCACAATGTTTATCCATTTGCTATCAACCACTATTGAATATGTGGGCACTAGAGCCACTACTGCCTTTTGACTGGGGGCTAAGACAGATCGTATCATCGGAGAATTCTACTAGACTAGCCCATGAGCTCAATTTAGAATATAACGCTAGGGTAACTGCACAGAACGTTTTTCTACAACAATGATACATTATTAATAATAATTTACACTCACCCAGTGGATATTAAAAGAAAATTCCTGGAGTAATTTCTAGTCGTCCGAACATTAGCACACCCAAATTCGAATAGAACCAGCAGCGGTTCTCGAGCTCGATGTTGCCAGAGTCACGTGAAGAAGGTTTTTAGCTTACTCTTATTCTATGTACAGAATAATATTATTTAATCTTAATGGGGCTTAAAACTATTGTAAAATCATCGGAACATTTTCATTGTTATGGACTGGCCATGATAACTGGCTTACGAAGAGCAATGATTATTGGCAATCATATAACTGGCAATGATTATTTTATCTTAGTTATTTGTGAAGTTATCGGTCGAAGTTCACAAGTATCGACATATTTACGACATTAACTATGCGATAAGGCACAGCTTAACAACTAGTAATCTCAAAGAAATTATAATATCTCCCAGCTTGGAGATTATACACTATAATATTATCTAGTCACTACACATTCGCTCGAATCGGTTTCCTATTCAGGCATACATTCACGGGCTTTCCAGAACATTCATGGCAGGCGCGTCATCCTCAACGAGCCAGACACCAACGACGACCAATCACACAAAGTTAGGCAGGCGTCGGTTTTGAAACTCAGGTGTGGGTCGCCTGTCTTTTGGCGGGGAAACGATCTCACTCAAATTTGTTTACCGACCGCTTCTCGAGCAAACTTCCATCACACATTATTTATTTAAACAAACAACATGAGCTCTCGTCATTTGCTGGCACTACGATATTTAGAACAATACAATGACATTTTACATGAATCGGTCTTCGTCTTCAGACAAATTCACCAAGAAGGCACTCCGGCACTGGCGGCAGAACGAGCCTGGGTTCAGATTGAGACGCGGTGGAGATCAGACGTGTTGTGTAGTCGCTCCAGGAGCCTGACCGACTTGTTTCCTGCTTGAATTGATTCCGGAACTTTATTACCGTCGTGCGGTTGTGCTGGACTTCCGGAACTTTATTACCGTCGGGCGATTGTGCTGTACTTCCGGTACCGTCGGGCGGTTGTGCTGTACTTCCGGAACTTTATTACTGTCGAGCGGCTGTGCTGTACTTCCGGAACTTTACTACCGTAGGGCGGTTGTGTTCATTTTAGGTAGTCACATTTCCCTCATTATGGGGTGGCGCCCCCCATTTGCAAACTATGACACTTTCCTCTAGTTTGTCATTTGCATATGTAACTAGAAGAGTTCTACTACAATGCACCAAAACCTGGAGTTATTTGAAGTTATTTTACCAAAGAAAAATAATTGATTTTACCACCCGGTCTTAAGTTACCCCAAGAGCTGGGGTAACAAGGACCATCACTTTTTTTGAAATTACAAAAGACTATGAGAGGCAGGAGCCAGCAATTTATGATGAGTGAAGCTAGAGTATAGACCTGTATTTTGCATGTTTCAATTCCAGTTTAATTTAGCTAGTAAGAAAATGGCATCATTTATAAGAAAAAAAGTGGTCTAAGTTACCCCATTTTACGGTATATTATTTATATAATATAATATAATGAAGGTTATTAGTAAGAAAACAACCAATTTGATAATAGAGTTCAATTTCGTAGAAAAATTAGTAGTATGACGCTTGCTGATTAAAAATGTAGAGGAGGGGGAGTGGAGGAGGGGAATGTGCAGCCAGACGTTAGAAGGCAGAGCCTGACCGAGAAATTTTAACGGCGTGAGGCCGTGTGGGCTCGATGCAGCGTTCAGCAACCGCTCCACCTGACTCTTAAGTATACCTACTTGTATATGCTGATTTCAAGTGGTAAATAAATTAATAGATGATTAAGTTAAGAGACGGTTTCAGACACATAAAAACTAATTCCGAAACAGCTTGGAATTAGACACACACAGCTCATTCCAAGCTGTGTGCAAAAATTAAAAATTTCCTAATTAAAAGCTTAATAGCTCTTAATTAAAAGCCTAATTAAGTAGTGTTCAATAGTCAATACCGTAAAATGGGGTAACTTAGACCGACGGGGTAACTTAGACCACTTTTCGTTTTTTAACAAAAACCCCCACAACTCAAAAACTATTTGACATAGAAAAATTTTGTCAATGGGCATTAAAGGCCTAATACTGAGGCTACATAACACAATAGAGAGATTTAAAAAGTTTGCAAATCTAATAGGTTAAAAAATTAAAATTGTGACCCATGAAAAAACTATTATTTAAAGCCTGTCAGAGTACCCCCTCCAATTTTTTTATTTTTTGGTTAAATAACTCCAGGTTTTGATGCATTGTAGTAAAACTCTTCTAGTTACATATGCAAATGACAAATTTTAGGAAAGTCCTAGTTTGCAAATGGGGGTGCTGCCCCCAAATGGGGTAACTTAGACCACCTAATGTCAGCCCTGACGGAGTAACATAGACCAGCTTGGAAGTTAATATAAAATTACCATATATAACATATTTTATGTTTGACAGCCTATTTATGTTTCTTCTTTATGTTTCAGACTCTACAGAGTCTTATATATGGTAATTTTAACTTAATTTCCAAGCCAGTCAATATTACCCCATCAGGGCTGCCATTAGTAAGAACCAACACCAGGGGCCACAGCTATAAACTAAAAAAACTGCGGTTCAACTTATCCACGCGACAACATTTCTTCTCGCTTCGAGTCACTGACATGTGGAACAGCCTCCCTGAAGATATTGTTGACGCTCCGAGTATGAACGCGTTCAAGAACAGACTAGACAAGGCCAGGCATGAGCATATGTTCAGTCTTGAAATGCCTCGTACCCTACGGAACATCTGATATCTAGAAGCGATTTTAAATCTACCGTCCGTAAGGCCAGTCTAGTCAAGAAAAATACAAAAATCGGCGACAGGCCTATCCAGGCCTATTTATTTAATGCCGAAGATACTATACTATACTATGCTATGCTACTCACTCTAGATGAAATTCAACACATCTTTAAATTGATTGCTAACAAGTTGTGCTACTGTACAGCATTGTCACATTCGTGCATTCACTCGACACTGATCACTCTCCTAATGACACAATTCATGACAATAATCAAGATAATCAAGAAGAAACACAGAAAAATTCTAAACAAGTGAAATACAGGATCACTTAATGGGAGAACCACTCGCTATGAGTGCGCGGCATGACTAAGTCGAATGAGCCAGCAGCGGCTGCCTCGCCTAATACTAACGGCCTGCCACGGCAGAATATATTCAGCGTTTACATTTTATTTTAACACGTTCAAGTGAACGTAACGCCATTTGCTATCCGTTTTGGTGTTTCTTGACAGTGTATTAGGGCTAGAGCTCATAGTCTCTGCGGTTCGTTGTCGGCATCTCGGTGCGGTTAGATCCCGTACCATTTGCTGTCCGTCTCTGTGATTCTTGCGGTGCATTAGGGCTAGAACCCCTAGTCTCTGTGGTCGGTCGGTGACATCTCGGTGCGGTTAGTTCCCGTACCATTTGCTGTCCGTTTTCGTGATTTGGCAATGTATTAGGGCTAGAACCCCTAGTCTCTGCGGTTCGTTGTCGGCATCTCGGTGCGGTTATTTTCCGTACCATTTGCTGTCTTTTTTTGTGATATGGCAGTGTATTAGGGCTAGAATCCCTAGTCTCTGCGGTTTGTTGTCGGCATCTTGGTACGGCTAGTTCCCGTACCATTTGCTATCCATTTGTTATTCAAAGCAGTTTATTAGTTCTCGTACTGTGTGGTTTCTCGGCGGTTTGTACTTCTGAAGTGTCAATCATATTTTCCGTGAAATTTTGGACTAAGACGAATAGTGAATTATGCGCATCATATGAAGAAACTAGTAATTTGCCTGAAGATTACCAGTATATTACGAAAAGTTCCTTGTGTACATTCCTCCTCTCTCCAACGCAAAGGAATTTAGAGCCGGACCAAAGAGCGACTCTTTAGCTCATGTGTTTAGTATCAGTACGGAAGTCTATACCAAGACGGCACGCTACCCGTAAATATATCACCTTCACCGCGGTGTTTCCGGTTACATATATTTACAAACGTATTGACTTATAATACTAGTTGGTATTAATTATATGAATGAAAATGTTGCAAAACCTTTATAAAAAATGTATTTGAAGTGTTGTGCTTTTCAACATTTAATTATAATTAAAATTGCGAGGGCAACCGTTGGAGGATGGTGTGTCAGGGTCATCCAACTACAAATCTTAGCATCCATTCACCATCCGACGGAGCTGACGTGAGCAGGGAGCAAGATTGCATGAGGAGTGTTAGTTTCGTGCCGAGTTAGGTTAGACTTGGTGTGTATTTACGAGTTACGTCAATGATCAACAAATAATTAAAATTCGCCACACCGAGTAAATAGTACGTTAATGATGAAATTATGTCTGTTTTCTGAAATCTCTGATAACTTGCGATGAAATAAGATTTTCACAGACCCAATTATGGGCAAAACTAGAAATCGTAAGTCTCGACAGAATCCGAAGGCCAAGAGTCAGCCTAGTTCTGATTTAACTTCTGAAGCTGGTGGACGGGCTGAGGTTTGATTGAAAGAAATTTTGTTTCAGTTTTGTGTCTTGGTATTTGAAATTTTTTGTATGTTGGCTGACAGTTAGCTACCCTTAGTACCCTACCCTTCTGTCTTATCTTTTGATAGCATTGATATGATACCTAATATTATATGTATGATAATACTTAGGGTTAGGTAGGTATCTAGTCTACCCTATCATCTAAATTGTCTAATGAGTTATGAGTGAATAGAGTAATGACTGTTCAGTATTATTTATATGCTTTGCATTTAATTATAAAACTTCATTATTTATTATTTTATTTCAAAAATTTCCATTGCAAATTTTATCTTGTATTGAATTTTAAATAGGGTAAACGCGGTATATTCCGACATTGTGGGTAATTACAACACTTCTCAACTTTTTCCTTTATATTAAGCTTTGTTTTAGTTCCAACTCACTTCCACGCATTCGTTGATGGTTGAAAACTTGAAATAGTGATGTCATACTATTGCGCGCCATACTAGCTAATCATAGTCTAGTATGGAACTAGTATGGAATATATCTACTTGGCGAGCCGCGACTGAATTTTTCGAGCCGTGTATTTTTTAATCAAACAAAAATTTATGACATTCGAGCCGCGAGATTTCATACCTACTGAAATTATATGATATTAGAGCCGCAATATTTCAGACAAAAATAGGACTTTTCCAGACTAGATCATAGTGATAACCAGAGATTTTTTAGAATCAGTTAATTTTTAATTTCCTCATTTACCCAAGATTTAAACCAATTTCTTATGTATGAAGATGCTGGTATCCAGGATACTTTACTGGCCTACTTATAGGACTCAAAAATAACTTGAGGGAGAGTCTAAAAAAACCTCTGCTCTGCCACTATCAGTATGCATACTATTGCCAAAACACTAGGTTTGGGCTGTCTGGCAAGAAAATGTTCAGATCCAAAGAGAGACGGTGTGCGTCACCCAGTGAGAACATCGAAAATTGTGTCGAAGTAGATAGTTGACCTTGCTCTACCAAATAGTGATAAACTGTTTGTATAGAAAGAATATTATAGTTTGAGACTTTTAAATAAGTCTGTGTCTCTGTGAATATATTAGGAATCCTTTAAGAGGCCGGTGGAGCGGCCGCCAGGCGCATTAATCCCTATGAGGGTTCTTAACAATGAAGGCAACCAATAACTCTCCTCCTAAATAAGATACAAGTTTGAAATTTGGATTGGTGATCTGGCTAATTATTTCCAATTAAAGGACAGTAAGATATATTATGTAAACTATGTATTATCACTTTTATCACAAACAAAAATTTTAAACCATATGAAGATCGTAAAATGAGCGACTTTTTCCAGCGCGACAACATTTTCTAACATTTTCGCGACACAAGTTAATTTAACTATTTATTCTTCATTGATCTCTACACAAAGCATTTCTGAATCATTCTTTTAGCATTAGATATTAGTCGACATTATTTAGGTATGTGCACAAAGTACGCTCAAACGTAAACAATGCTGGCAAAATGGCGGACAGCCACTTTCCGCATCGGCGCCCGTATGGTATTTAATTTTGAAAGTCCCACCAAAATGTTAGCTTAATTTGATTGACTTTTGTTTGGAAACAAACTAAAAAAACTTGAACTATGACGACATCATTTTTTTTTCGAGAAATGTCTATCATGTACCTGCTTAGCTGGGATGTGCAAGAGGTAACATTGGGGCGGGAAATAAACATGGATATCGTATTTTGAAATTAATGAAAGATAATTTGAAATCAAGATTATAGTTTTTAGAGCATGCTCTCGAAATTTCAGAGCTTTGCAGCCATTCGGACAGTTTTTCTACCATGTCCTGTCGCGCTGTTTACGTTCAGTTCAGTCATGAGCCAGTGAGGTAAGCTGGTCCTGAACTACTGCCAAGACTGAGACATGAGATGAGGCATGAGACAAGCTACGAGACGAGACATGAGATGAGATGAGACGCGAGACGAGACATGAGACAAGACATGAGATTGGACATGAGACGAGGAGATGAGACATGAGACGTCAGACGAGACGTGAGATTGGACATGATACGAGGCATGAGACAAGATGTGAGATGAGATGCGAGATGAGACATGAGACAAGGCATGAGACAAGGAGACAAGCATGAGACGAGACGTGAGACAAGAAATGAGATTGGACATGAGATGAGACACAAGACGAGGCACGAGACGAGACATGAGACAAGACACGAGACGAGATGAGACGAGGCACGAGATGAGATGAGGCATGAGACAAGATGAGACGAGGCATGAGACAAGATGAGACGAGGCACGAGACAAGATGAGACGAGGCACGAGACAAGATGAGATGAGGTATGAGACAAGATGAGACAAGGCATGAGACNATTACATAAAGACTATGAGAGGCAGGAGCCAGCAATTTATGGTGAGTGAAGCTAGAGTATAGACCTGTATTTTGCATGTTTCAATTCAAGTTTAATTTAGCTAGTAAAAAAATGGCATCATTTATAAAAAAAGTGGTCTAAGTTACCCCATTTTACGGTACTGAATCAATAGTGTTCTAATTCTGAGCTGTGTCATATTCCAATACAGCGATCAGAATTCGAACACAAGTATGTCGGCATTGCGAATTATTAGAGTTTGAAGCGAGGCCGGAATTAGTCTCACAAAATGCCAAATATAGTCACACACAGCGTCGGAATATATGGATTTGGTAGGTTTGCATTCTAAAGGCTTTTCAATAAATATGGCAACATTTTGTGACGTTTCATTGTTGCTGGCGCATAGTGCGGTGTTATGAGAGTGACGTAAAGCAAACAGAACTCGAGTTGTGCACACGGTGAATTTTTTTGTGCCATTCATTTTTTTGCTACCATACATCCTTAATGTGTTGGAATATACCATCAACCGGGGCTACTCAGGACGGGCGTGGTAGGTAACTCGGGACAGTCCTCAGACACGGCATAAAACTGTTTTAGTAGCAAAACTAATTGGAATATTGCAAAACTAAATATAGTGGCGTAAACTTCAACATTTTTCCTATCTATGTAGTACAAAGGAAGTTCAAAAATACCGTACTACATTCATTAGCTTTGAAAAATTCCTGAAAAAAATGGTGAAAAACAATAATTTGAAAAGTTACTTCTGCTAAGGTCTGTAGTAAAAAAAATATTCATCGTATTAAAAAAATTTACTTACATAAAAGTTGCACCCAGGTGTCGGCTTGAAAACGTAATTGACAGATTTTGCCTCATTCCAAAAAAAATGGTGGTCATTTCCACACGGCGGGGCTACTCGGGACACCCCCAAAAGCGCATTTACAGTAGAACCTCAATTAGCCAAGGCTCCAGTTGAGAAAAAAATTGATTAAAAACAAAGAATATTGATTACATTTACCTTGCTGAGCAAAAAAAAGTTTACTTTTCGAAAAATTAGTGCATCATCGGTCATCACTAAATTGTGCATAGAATGTCATATTTAGAATTGTGCACCAGGCATCATAGAATGAAAAGTAATTGACCTAAACTATGATTTATTTCTCCAAAACATATGATGGTTGTCACTAAAACATTCCTTTCTGTTTCAGGTATGTTTTTCATGATCTTTTCATTGCATTTTCTCATTTATGGAAAAAATGCACTATTGTGCTCGTCATGTCCGTCTGTCCATGACCTCAAGTTTTCATCCATGAGAAAATGCGCTCTCTGTCACTCACTGCAGTGAGTACTGAGTTATATTCTTTTTATACTTTTTAATAATAAACTAAGTTTTATTCTACTAAATAAATTTATCACATTTGCTCAGACATGCTTTTTCTGGCAATTTTCCTTCGCAACAGATGCTACTCCTGGGTATGAAGTATAAACGTATGCTAACGTATTTCATGGATTGGATCTCTGTGGCAGTGTGTGATTTTGCTGATGCATCTTTAATTTGATTGAGAAACCTTGATGTTTCTTCTAGACATTTGATCAAGCAATGCTGATAAGGTGTACTTGGAAGTAGTTGTACTACTTTAACTTGCAATTTTGTAGGAAATAAGGACAGTGATAGTCATAGGTGTGGCTCTCTGGTGGAATGAATGATACATTAATTTGCTGTCAGACATGGTGGGATTCCAGGAAATGAATAGGAACATTGCTCCAACCCCCTTCAGCCGCTACTGGCAGTACCGTCAATTGGAGGGGGGGGAGTAGGGATCAGCCTGAGCCATCCATGAGGACCGGGGGTGCTACCATGCTTCTGGCGGTGGCCAAGCGGCAATATTCCATTAAGTCTTTGTGGCAGAATGATGCACCCTTTAACGCTGAACGAAACTTAATTTATAACAATTCATTAAATTAACACGTTGATTGCGGGGGCCGAAATTGCCGACTGCCCGCTGGTGCAGCTATGTTTGGGTTGCTATATCGTCAGTGCCTCTCCAGACATCGAAGCGGGAGGTTGTGTGTGTATGTTTATCAATGTGCTCTACATGTTAGCGCAATAAGATTCATGACCCACATGTGGGTCGTTTCGCAGCTGAGTGTGAGATTTGTCATGTCACTGCGGCACGACCCACATATGGGTCGTGCAAAAATTTGCTTATAAATTTATTTTACCTAATTTTCCTGTTTCACAACTCACTCTCATGTATTTTCTGACCATTCATGATGGAAACGTCTAGTATTTATGGTGATTCTAAGGGAGCGAAACGTGATGAACTTTCTTCTGACAGTGATGATCCCATCAGATGACACGTTCTCACCAGAGAGAACCGATGGTTCAGAGTGTGATGAATTGAATGATTTAAGTGATTTAGATGGTGAAATTAGTGATGACAACAACAAAGGTAATGATATTCACTCAATTGAAGGTCAGACAGAGCAATGTGTGTGCCTAAGTGTTGGCTCAAATGAGAATGTTTTTATGTTTTCTGGTAAGGAAGAACTGTCAATCGCACCTAACCATTCTCATGAAGGGAAGATCTGGCCTATTGATGCTTACTCCCTTTTTTTGACAGATCCAATCATAGAAT